ATGTTGAAGTTGTATAGTGACTTTTCACTGGAGGGGATAATATTCCACCAGGAATGGTCTCCCAATGAAAATGTTGAAACTATCTGGACAATAAGATGTTGGACTCTCTGCATGGTCCATACCCGCAATGAAGGAATCATGACTGGTTATGAACTGTGCTACTGTAATAATATAGAGGAATCCAACATGGGAAGAGGATTTGGGGAGGGGGAGGGGGAATCCCAGAGCCTATGAAACTGTGTCATAAAATGAAATAAATATTAAAAAAAAAAACTTCTTGCCATCTGTACAACATAACACATTTCAATGAGAAATACAACCAAACTAACAAATATCCAGGGACCAAGCATTTTCTATGAACTTGTTGAAGATCATAAACGTTTCAAGTAAAAGGCCATTTTGAGGGGTTCACATAAATAACTGTCCCATCCAAAACTCATCCTGAAACAGCTGACATTTTAAGATCCACTGCAATACAGATGCTTATGAAATCGAGTTCTCAAAAGGAATTCACTCGTTTAAAGTTCAACCAAAAGTGCTTGTTCAAACAGGATTGGGCTCCAAGCAAGCTCGCATAAAGTAAGCTAACCTGAAAAAAGACTCTCTTATCTAAAAAATGTGTTCAACCATGGCCACCTCTATAAGAAAGATCCAAAGAGCTGTAGCACCCAAACTGTATCCAGAAACATCTCCCTCCACGCAAGTTCATCTAAGGCTATACTGATATGATCCCAGCTGTTCAGAGGCTGAAATATACAGCATATTCTTGGGGATATGTGCATTTTCTAAGGAGATGATATACAGATTCAAGTGGGTTTTCAAAAAGGGTTCATAACCCATAGAAATTTAAAAACTAAAACAGTACAAAATATAAAGGCATGCTAAGACATCTAGAGCTAAAAGATGCCACCTATAATTTATAAAACACTTTACTGAATCCTGATCCCCTAAGTAATCTCCAAAACATAAATTATCCTACTGTTTTCCACTGATGTCTCCTTGTTCAAGAATATTTCATTTGTTTCCTTTTATAGTACATGTTTCTTGACATCCAACTCTATAATTACATTATTGCAAATTACTTGCTTTCCTGCCTAAAACTTCTTACCTAAGAAATTACTTAGCCTTTCTAATTTCTCTTGACTTATTTTGGTCTGATTCCAATGACTGCTCAATTTCCTGGCTGGGGCAGATTCCATTACAGCCTGGGGTTGGAGACATGTCTGCAACCGGCAATCTATGCCCTGTGAGGTTCTTGAATCACTTGACACTCCAGACAGTCACAAACAATGATTCAACATAAATGAGCTATTCACTAGCACCAAGCTCCAGCTGCTCCTAGAACATAATCCCCCTGGCCTAAACAGGAGAAATAGCAGAAGAAGTCAATTCTATATCCACCAGAAAGGAAAAAAATTTAAAAGCCCCTCATTCTGCACATTTATTGAATATAATTGTGTGAAAGATGGAATCTCTAGTGCCATGGACCATGTCCTTTCCCTGAGCTTTGCTTGAATATTTAATGCTCCCCCCCACCACCACCAAATGTAAGCTCCAAGAAGGCCATATTTTCTTCTCTTCCACTCATTATTTTACCCATGAAACAACACCAGCGAACCCAGAGCGAATATATGCTAAGTTACAGGTTGGAAAAATGAAATGGCTGAAGAAAAAATGAATTAGTGAATTCTCAAGGAGTTTTGGGTGAAATTGCTTGCCTTCCATTGCACTCAGCACTTACAGTCACTTGCTCCTCTCTGTGTCACTGCCTTTACCAAGCTATTCTCTGACTCATTCACCATATTTATTACCCAGTCTCAAATCTAGACTCAATCTCTTTCCTAAAGTCCTCCTTCCACCCAATTTTGTCCTAACTCCCCATAGTCTGTAACGCTGCCATTTATTGTGAGTGAACACCTTGTGCTTTGCAACATTAAAGACAGAGACTTCTCACAAATTCAAGACTCAGGCTTTCTCCATCTATGTCAAAAGAAACCAAAAATACTAAAGAAGCCCTGTCACCAGGATCACAGCACAACTATTCTGCTTTTAAACCAGTTTCTGCGAATGCACATGAGAAAGCAGAGGGAGATGCCCCGAATGCTTGGGCTCCCATACCCACGTGGGAGACCCAGATGGAGTTCTTGGCTGTCAGCTTAGGCTTTCATGGCCATATGAGGAGTGAACCAGCACATAAAACATCTGTTTCTCTCTCTGGATCTCCATCTCTCAAATTAATAAATGAATTTTTTTGAAAGCCATATACAGGACCCAGTACCAGCTAATCCTTCACCTCCAAGCACCAGTATCCCATGTGGGCACTGGTTCGTATCCCAGTTGCCCTGCTTCCCATCCAGCTACCTGCTTGTAACCTGGAACTCAGAGATGGCCTGGGGACCCTGCATCTACATGGGAGACTCAGGTGAAGCTCCTGGCTGCCAGCTTCAGATCAGCTCAGCTCTGGCCGTGGAGGCTATTTGGGGAATGAACCAGAAGATGGATATTTCTCTCTGGCTCTCCTCTCTGTATATCTGCTTTTCCAACAAAAATAAGTAAATATTTTTTTAAAAAGAGAGAGAAGATATATATTTTTTAAAAATCCATATACAGTGATAGCTGTATAAATATTTGCATATATGCACCTTTAACATTTATTGAATATATAAATGAGTGACAAAAATGAAAAAGTGTTAGAGGTGATTAAAATCAGGTTTCCTTCAAATCCTATCTTCCACTGCAACCCTCATACCATGTCAATTGCAGTGACAGGACACATAGCAGCATTCTTTCCTATCCATCCGAGTAACTGGTATACCCATCGCCTAAAAAGCTTATCATTCCTTGTATTGGGAACATTGAATTCTTCTCTCCTAGCTCTTTTGAAATATACAGTTCATTGCTGTCAAGCATAGTTACCCTACTGTGCCACATATCGTTACAAGTTATTGTTGCTATCCAACCACGTCTCTGCCTCTATTAGCTTTCCTCTCTATCTCTCCTTCTTTTGCCATCACCTCCACAGCCTCTGGTGACCACTATGCTAGTTTCTGCTTCTTAGCTTCCACATGTAACATGAGAAGATGAGATTTTCATCCTCCTGTTGTGGTTTATTTCACATACCATAGTGTCCTTCCGTCCTATCCATGTTACTGCAAATAATTCCCATTAGATTCCTTTTTTTTTTTTTAAGATTTATTTTTTATTATTTTTTCATTGGAAAGGCGGATATACAGAGAGGAGAGACAGAGAGGAAGATCTTCCGTCCGATGATTCACTCCCCAAGTGAGCGCAACGGGCCGATACTATGCCAATCCGAAGCCAGGAGCCTCTTCCGGGTCTCCCACGCGGGTGCAGGTTCCCAAAGCTTTGGGCCGTCCTCGACTGTTTTCCCAGGCCACAGGCAGGGAGCTGGATGGGAAGCGGGGCTGCCGGGATTAGAACCGGCGCCCATATGGGATCCCGGGCGTGCAAGGCGAGGACCTTTAACCACTTGCGCCACCGCGCCGGGCCCAGATTCCTTTATTTTTACAGGCAAAATATTGCTCTATGGATACATATCACATTCCTTTATCTATGCAATTATCAATTGACAATCAGATTCAGTCCATATCTTGTCTGTGGTCAGTGATGCCACAGTGACTTTTTTATTCATCGGAAACCAGCAGAAGAAAGACTTCCCTGTCCTTGTCTCAACCCAACACTAACAGCACTGGCTCTCACACCTAGGCATGCTCCTAGTATTACCACATGCTACTTACTAACCTTTATGTTTCCTTTGTCCATAAAATATTTCAAAGTAACAAAATTTAATTTTGTAAACTAAGTGAACATTTGAAGAAAAGTTTTGAAAAAACAACTCATCCCTTCAGTCCCCCTTAGCTAATACTCTGTATGATATTGTTCTAAAGGAGATAAATCTTGAATGGCTTTTCATGTGAAATAACAGCGTGACATAGACCTGTCACCCATTTGGCCTCAGACATTGTTTAACATAACCCCTCTCCTCTCTCTTTGGCCTAGCTGAAAACCTCCAGATGAAGCCTGGCTCTGGAAACCAATCTCAAATTGATGGATACTGCTTAGTTTGTTTTCTGTGTATGGAAGAATCCTTGCTCTTGCTTTAGTTTAGTGATTTTCCCCCATTTAAAATAAAACTATTCCAGAAGGCTGGAAGTTATTGATCTTATTTTTGAGATTTAAGGTCTAATTTCTAGGAATAACACAGAAATATTTCCACACTGGTGTAAATGTTTTATGAAAGTACTAATTTTAGCACTTTTATAACTGCAAATAAAATGTGAATAAATTTAGTGCTCCTCAAATGGGACATGCATAAAATAACCATTAAATAGGTGAAATAAATCTACATATTCTGATACATAGAGTTGCCCATTATTTGTTAAGTGGACGGGGTAATTCAACAGTCGTCATTTTTCAAGTACACCAAAGCCCTATATTTTGGTGTTTGATTCATGTATTCATGCTCACATGATGCAACAAGCACATCAGTAAATTGTTTGGAAAGGAGAATGGAAGTAAGAAAGATTCCAATTTTTTTATTGTCTGCACTTTTTAAAAATTACATAAGGCATGTCTCCACTTAGATACCCTCTACTCAAATGGCAGACATTGAGTAATATGTCTGCAGCTAATAACTCATTTAATGAAGTGTTGGGAAACAACAAGAAACCAAATGATTTCAGAGACAGCTAAATTCTGATTGGTCTCTTAGGTGCCAAGCTCCTGTAGCTGAGTTTAAATTCTTTCCACAAACTCAAAAATCACCAAAGGCTAACTTTTTTTTCACCAGTAGCCTGGAGAAACCAACAGGACTTAGGCACTGTTTCACCTGTATATCTTGCCTGGTGAGCACAAAGGTAAGGTTAAGGAACCTTGTTTCAAATAAAATGCCAACTTGTTTAAGTATCATCCTCTCTCAAAAGGAAAAAAGAGAGTGAAAGAGTAACACTGTTTTGTTGTTACAGGCAGCAATTTGAAACATGAAGGCTGCTATTCTGCTGTTCTGTCTTCTAGGAGCCACACAGTCATTACCAGTAAGTGCTATGTGTTTCCTTTACATGCCAACCAGCCTCAGCCCTGTCTCCAAAAGACTCAACTCTCTTCCTGCCTCCGGCAAAATTGCTATGCTCTTTGTCCTTTTCCCTTGGTTTCCTGCTTTTATTTCCCAAACAAATTGATACATTTGATTAATCGATAAATGTTTGGTGTCTATTTCAATGTATCTGTGCTTTTAGAATATGCCTGCTTTACTATGATAGAATTTTAATTATTCTAGCAGAGTAAAAGGGTAGAAATCAGGAGACAATGGAATGTTTGAGATAATACCTACTTTGATTCTCACTTTATTTTCCAAAAATAATTTCCTTGGCAATGAGTTATCTGCTCATAACTAAAAAATCATAATCTCTGATTTCTCTAACTGCTAACACAGAATAGCCAGATTGTATAATCTCTACAAATATTACCCAATCATGTAAAATTAAAGACATGCTCTAAAGTAGTCCACATTTCTGACCTGGAACACTTCATCACAGAATGTAGTCATGTAACAGGCTTTTGGAAAAAGGGAATACTAATACTTCAGTTTTCACTACAGCTACCTTCCACTGTCTTATAGACTTGGAGATGGGTAGTTTGGCTCCACAAGAAAATTTCTCTGTGACTGTTTAAGATGTTTGGCAATGGACATTGTCACACTAAGTACTCTAATCTAAACTAATCTGCCATATTGGAATACCTGGATTTGAGTCCCAGGTCCACTCATGATCCCAGCTTCCTGCTAATGGAAGGCAACTGGCGATGGTTAGACAGTTACGTCCCTATTGCTTATGTGGGAGACATGGAGTAAGTTCCCAGGTTCTAGCTTCAGCTCGGCCCAGACCCAACTATGAATGCAGGGGAATTTGGACAGGTAACCCTCCTTCTTTCCCTCCCTCCCAGATGCTCTCTCTGTCACTCTATATCTACATTTGTCTAAAATTTAAATTATGAAATATTAGTTATGAAACATCAGAGAAAGAAACCACAGTTAACTGAGCCTCAAGCTCTCTAGACATTTGTGTAGTCAGCTACACAGTCAACAAATATTTATTGAAAACTGTGTGGCAGATTCAATGGAGAAAAAATGAAACAATAGATATGGGCCCTCAGGATGTTCATGAAGACTATATCTACTAAATAAATCAAATTTAAAGAACCATTCAGCTGTAAATAACTGTGGTGAGTCTTGTGAAAGGAATGAACAGGAGGAGCTTGCAGGAAGATGAATTAAGGGATAAATAAGTAAACTCCCTCTTGTCTCTCTCTCACTCTTATCTCTCTATAAATATATGTGTGTGTGTGTGTGTGTGTGTGTATCCACCTTGCAAGAAATTTTAGTATTCTAAACAAAAATGAAGTGAACTTTAATTTTTAAATGTTTAATATTTTTACAAAGTAAATGGATCCCTCGATGTGCAAAATTTACCAAAAGGTTCTTCAAAATGGACCCTCTAGCATATTTAAATTACATATTATCTGTAAAAACTCAAGATCAATACAACTTCCTAGGAACAGCATTCTCATGCAAGGTGCACTGGGAAACACACACAGGCTGATGCAGGCTGCTAATTGCCAACAAAGTGACAGCAGCAGCAGCTACATGGTTAGTTGGGGAAGGCGTGGTGGGGAGACACTGAAGCCTCTATTGGGAATAGAAGTAATATCTACCAAATGAAAACAAAGGATTCATGGAATATAAATGCATGCCGCACTCTAGCCATTGTTTTCCAACGATCCAAGGTTTGGGAATAGGTGCCAGACACAGAATACTATGACAAGAAAAGAAACAATATAACAATGAAAGCTACATTTCATTCTTTGAACAAATATTTGCTGAGCACCTATTGCGTGCCAGGCTGAATTATCTCCTTAGAGCACATCTTTGATTTCCTTGATGCAAACACGGTGGCAGACAGCCTAAGTCCATAAATCACACACATGGGAGCAGGTGGTTAGCACCACATAAAAAGGCATAGAGGGCAAAGAGGGGAAAGGCAGGCCTGTGGTGGGGTTACGTGAGATGAGGAGGCTACACATGCAGGGGATGGGATGGCTCAAGAAGGTGAGTCCAGGAAAAACCTAAAGCACATGAATGGATCTCTCTCGCGCTCACAAACACACACACACACACACACACACACACACACACACACACACAGCCTTTCAAATCATGGATAAATGTTTGCAAGACACAATGGATACAAAACCTCAAACACATCCCAGACTCATCAAATATTTGTTTTCACAGAAGCAGTTAAACCCCGCTTTGGGAGTTCCTCCTCCTCCTCCTCCAAAGCAGGATCGGAATCAGGAAACGCCACTGAACCAACAGCAACCAAGTCAGGTGAGAGTCCTGCAAGAGGAAACTTCCATAAGCCAGCACAGAAAATGTGTTCAGGATTCATAGTCTCGTGACTCAAGAGAAAATAAGAGCCAAACGCACATGTTGGCAAATTTTTAATAGGGCAAGTAAACATCTCATTTTTTTTCCTCTTTTGTCTGGATGATAATTTGGCTTAAGAACTAAACCTAGCAAACTCTGAAAAGTGACAGTTGTGCCTGCCTACCAAACTTGCTTATCTATGCTCTTGAGCTATGATAATTTATCATATGTGCTGCTGCCAACATGGCAGCAGGAGGGTAACTGTGAAAATGAGTGACAATGAGCCTGCTGCTGCAAAGCCTGCTTCTTGAAAGCATATGCAAATGCTGTTGAAAACTCCCTGACCTTTGTGGCTATTTCCTTGCCATATCCTCAGCTACACCACAATGTAGTCTGACCCACATCTGGATTTTGTGAAACAACATAAGCAGATAATTGCAGAGCTGAAGTTCTCTTTGGACATTATGGTATACTCAATTCAGAGTCAATCCACCTCCATAAGGAACATGAGTGTACGTAATTGGGGCCCTCTCTAATAAATAAATATATGTGTGCAGTTGGGTGTGTAAAGGTAGCTAGTGAAATATTTATAACCATATAGGAAACAAAAGTAAATCACATGAATTTTAAACCAATAGCTACCATAAATTTAGGGTGTCTGTTCCACGGCTACGGAAGGAGCCGACGCTAGTTAGTGAGAGTCCCTTGAGTCTTACCACTTTTACCATCATGGAAAATGCACTTAACCAGAAGTGCACATCACTGATGGGTATCCACCACGGGCAGACCACATCTTATCTCATTCATCCAATCCCATGTCCTGCAGGTCTTCTCTTCTCTAAGTCTAATACCGTTGACACAAATGCTCACACTGGTAAGTACTCTTTTATGTATGTTGCTATTCACTGTTAAATAAATACATCGCTTAATGTCAAGCTACACACATTCACTGTAACTAAGCTAAAAGAGAAAAAAATATTTTGAGGCTATTTAACATTGAAGTTTTTATAGTAAGAAAAAACTGATTAAGAAAAATATTCACTCTCCTCTAGAGTTCTATTTGGGGGAGAAAAACAACTTACTTCTCTGGTTAAACTGGACTTGTTTCTACTGGTCAGATTTATATATATATGTATATATGTGTGTGTGCATGCATTATATATGTGTGTATGTATCATATATATATAAATACTTTATATATATAAACTCATGTTCCAAACAAGATATTTTATTCTGAACTTCTCTGTTTCCATGGCACTCACTAGGGAAGAATTAATTCCTTCATTAAAAAAAAAAAAAGCCACTAGAAAACTCCAGGAAATGTGTAGCCAAAGGGTAATCAATAATAAAATTATCTAACTTTCAGAATCTGGATTAAATGACAAAGGAATACCAGCAAATTAAGGGGGTTTTGAATCTCATCTCTGCATAGTAATAAAATACTGTGTATTTATAGTTTTCCATTAGAGCATATTTTATATTCAGTAAACACATTTTAATTTCCTGAAGGCGCAAACTGAAAAAAACAAAAACGAAACCACAGTGAAAACCCTCTTCATTGCCCTGCAGCTAAATCCAGCTGCAGGAGCAGCAGCTGGGGCCCAGACCCTCCCACTGACCATGGAAGTACTGGAGGGTCAACAAAAGCTGCAAACCCAAGTAAGTTGTGCCGAACTTCAGTTTACAATGAGAGCTTTGTCTCTTACAGAAAACCTACAGCAAAAATGGAGAGGCACTAGGTTTCCTTGTGGTATATTTTGTTTGTTATTAAAGAATTCCTGGATGAGCAAGATCATCCCCATGAAAAGTGAAAGGTGGATAATGTTTATCTTCAGCCATTCTAATTTGCCCTTTTTTGTTCCCTGTTTAACATCTTGTCCTCCCTCCCTCCACCATTCTACAAAGTCTCCAAAGCACTTTCTAGTTACTCTATTTTTCAACTCGTACCAAGGACTGCTCTCTGGAAAAATCTTCTAATACTATTATAAGTAACACACACTCTTTGAAAGTATTTTAATCTTGACATTGGAAAAGGTCCAAATTTTTAACTTCTTGAATCTCCACTAAGTAGCTTAGCAGCTCCTGCACAAATACTTTTACTTTCAAGGTAACAGTAAATAGTTTGTTAATAACTTTTTCTTTCTAACATATTACCATATTTTGAACATAGTGATTCAATTTTTGTGGAAGCATTTGTTGCTGTATGTATTATATGTTAATTATAAAAGAGAAACATCATCTGGAAACCTGTTTCCAAGAACCAAATGATGTCAAGGTTCTAGAATACATCTTTCCAAACTTCTATTTTTGAAAGAAAATAAGTTTGTATTATATTTAATGTCTGTATGTTGATTTTTTTTCTACTAAATGCATGCTGAATAGTTTTCTTTACTGAATTTTTCCTTTTTCTCAGATGCTACCAATTATTGTAGCACAACTTGGAGCTCAGGTAAGGTTATTTTTAGTAAGATTTTTGTTCTATCACTTCTGGGCTTTTTGGCTAAGATCAAGTGTAGTAATATTTTTGTTCTTAAGTTGTCTTGATATGAAATGCTTCGGTATTTACTTGATTCATCCAGGTAACTGCCAAATTTTAAATTTACTGGATGCTTAATGGTCACTGATAATAAGTATTAATTATTGAGCACTCTTTAAAACATTTTATTTGTGTTACTTCATTTAATACTTGAAACATCTTTTGGGGGGGTGGAGGTTTTTTAAGATTTACTTATTTTTAATGGAAAGGCAAATTTGCAGAGAGAAGGAGAGACAGAGAAAGATCCTCCATCTGCTGGTACACTCCCCAAAATGGCAACAATGTCTGGATCTGAACTTATCCAAGCCAGGAGCTTCCTTCACTCCCACGCAGGTCCTGGGAACCAAGGCTTTGGGCCACCCTCCAGTGCTTTTCCAGGGCATAAAGAGGGAGCTGGATGAGAAATGGATCAGCCACGGCTAAGACCAGTGTCCAGATGGGATCTCAGCACTTACAGGTGGAGGATTAGCCAATTGAGCCATCATGCTGGGCCCTTGAAACATCTTTTGTAGATTTATTCTTGTTTCCAATTTGACTCCAGGTGGAGTTACTAGCTATCCTGTAATAGTTGTTCCTTTAGTAAATGTTACTCACAAAAGAAGCACTGATCAATCCCTAAACCAAGCTGCTAGGAAAGATAATAAGACTTCCTAATGAGTCTCGGCTCGGAGATTTGTTTTTAATCCAAAGTTATTTTTTAACTGTATGTGTTGTGCAGTTAAAAAATGTTACAAATGATTTCTCAGCTTGTATGCTCTCTTTCTGTTGACTTTTTAAAAAGTTAATTCTTGAGATCACTGGTAAAATTAGCAAGAGCCAAGATAAATATCAGCATCAAGCAACTATTTCGAAGAGCAGAATCAGATTGAAAATACCCATTGTCTCTTCTTTTTTTAAACATTTATTTTATTTTTATTGGAAAGTCAGATTTACAGAAAAAAGAAAGACAAAAAGATCTTTCATCTGCTGGTTCACTCCTGTAAGTGGTCGCAATGGCCAGAGCTGAGTTAATCTGAAGCCAGGAGCTACTTCCAGGTCTCCCGCAAGGATCCCCAGCCTCAAAGCTTTGGGCCATTCTCTACTGCTTTCCCAGGCCAGCAGCAGGTAGCTGGAAGGGAAATGGAGCAGCTGGGACACTGACTGGTGCCCGTATGAGATCCCAGCACATGCAAGGTGAGGACTTTAGCCACTAGGCTACTGAGCTGAGCCCTACCTATTATCATCTCTTAATTCCTGACCTAATCTTAAGAAAACACTTTGTAAAATAGCAAAGATTTTAATATCACATATTCATTAAGATTTATTTATTATAAATTTATTTATTTACTAAAGAGGAAAATACTGGCTATTCGTCAAACAATTATCAAAAGGGGTTAAGTAAACTATATAACATATGAGCAAATACTGTGTGGCCATCTAAGACTGCATTTGTTAAAATTTGAAAACAATATCAAATGGTTATTAAATGAAGAGAAAGCATACAAACTATGTAACGCTATTATGAAAAAAGGAAATGTATGCAAAAACCTGGAAGACAATGTCAAGCTCTGAATGGAGGGATTGTTTTCTTCCACTACTGTCTTCTGCCTTCTCCATGTTCTCCACTGTACATCTGTCACTTAACAATGGGAAAATGCATAAATTTTACAATGCAAATGATTTCACAGTAGTCAGATAATGAATACTAGCAATTTCGTGATGAATTGCAAAAGCTGCTTACCGTATTATTCGAAATACAAAATCACCATTTAAGGCCCGGTGCAGAAGCCTAGTGACTAAAGTCCTCGCCTTTCATGTACTGGGATCCTATATGGGCACTGGTTCTAATCCCGGTGGCCCCACTTCCCTTCCAGCTCTCTGCTTGTGGCCTGGGAAAGCAGTTAAGGACAGACGAAAGTCTTGGATTCCTGCACATGCATGGGAGACCTGGATGAAGCTCCAGGCTCCTGGCTTCAAATCTGCTCAGCACTGGATATTGCGTCCACTTGGGGAGTGAATCATTGGACAGAAGATCTTAGTTTCTGTCTCTCCTCTTCTCTGTATATCTGCCTTTAATTTTTAAAAATCACCATTTATAATCTTTAAAATATTTTAAGTTGTGTTATACATATCTAGTATCAAATATATTAAAACCTGCCTAATACTTATATTTTTTGTTTCTGTTTTTGCTTTTAGGGTGCTGTTCTAAGTTCAGAGGAATTGGTAAAAATTTAATCACTGATATTTCAATTTCTTTTCATTTGTACCTCTCTGTTTTCACAGTCTCTTGATCACAATCCCTTAGTCTGGTGTACACTGCAGAAAACTGGTCGTTTTTGTAGGTCCATGTCATAGATGATCTTTTCTCTAACTGAAGACTTTGCCATCCTTATCCAGCCATTTTTCCACTAATTTGACTTATCTTTGGTTTTCCATAGATGGCCACCTGATTCAGTTCTATTCAAAAAACTAAAGAACATCTTTATATATCAATTTTTAAAATATATTGATTTTAAAAATATCTTTATATATTCATTTTTAAAATGGTGCTTAGAATAACATAAATATTGACTTTTATTTAAGTGCTTTTCTTGACTTGGATTTTTAATTTTTATAAGAAAATACTTTTTCCCAAGGATTAGACGTAGGAAAATAAACTCTTTGCTATGTGCATGAATAATCACAGAGCTGGACTCAAAGTCTACAGTGCCCTTAGGAGGCATTCCATTCTGCTTAAGCCACGTCTCGATAGTCTAATCTGAATTAGGATGATCCCTAAACAAGACGATGGGAGAAAGACTTGAAGCACTCTCTGGGAACACAACGTGTGAACAGTTTTCCTGTTAGGAAATAACAACTGTGCTTCAAGAACTCCTCAAAAGTTTTACGGAAAATGCAGGTTATTACAAAAAACGAGTCTCAAAAAGTTTGAGCCAGAATACACTTAGCTTTTATTTCAAATTTTTCATAAAGTTTTTGAAATACCCTCATATTTTTGTACCTAAAAAGTAGTCATGTAATGAGGTTAGTATAATTTTGCAATACTGGCAAGGGAACATCTGCATTTACTCAGGTCCTTCTATGTAACGGGCACTTCGACAGATCACATGTACGCTCCCTTAACCCTCATCAAACTGAAGTCAGGAGACTACGACAAGCGTGTCAGGTAGACAAGCAGAGACTCTCACAGCTGAAGTAATTTAGACCTCTAAGACAAAAAAAAAAAAAAAATAGGTGCAAAGCCATTTTTCTACTACCATAATAGTTTACAATCATTCAATGCACAGTAGCATGAGTAGCCTAACATATATACGTGCATGCACATGAATTTTTGTGAAATAATACTTATCCTTATTGTATGGAATCTGCTCTGCTTCCTTATTGTCTGCTTATAGCCTTTTTTTCTTCTTTCCTGAGAAGCAGCGAGAAGCACTCCCACACACCCCAAATGCCCCCACAGCTGACAATGAGCCAGCTGAAATCAGGAGCAAGAAAACCAACCCAGGTCTCCACATGGAGGGCAGGGACGCAAGCCTTGAGCCGTCACTACTGCCTCCCAGGAAGAAGGAAGCAGGAAGCTGGAGTCAGGAGCCTAAGCCCAGCAGCGATCCCAGAGAAGGCGGGACTCTAACCTGGTGTCTTAACTACCAGGCCAAATGGCTGCTCTCATTTCATTTTGTAATAGTGGTTTTGGCAGACCTGTTTTAAATCTCAAAAGAATACCCATGACAACCTTGAGTTTTTAAAATATCTATACTCCTGTCTCTCATCTAGCATATGCCTAATTCTAATTAAATCTCTCTCGAATCTAAAATTGTGCTTCCCGGGGAAGGGCATGTGGCACAACATGATTTGAAATGTCCACATTCCATATTTTAGCTCCTGCTTTGAGTCAGCTTCACTTCCTCCTCCAACTTCCTGCTAATGCACTCCATGAGAGATAGCAATGATGGCTCACGTATTTCGCCACTGTCACCCATAAGTGAGATTCAATAGTTTCCTGGTTTCAGCCTAGCCCAGCCCTGGCTGTTTTGGACATTTGAGCAGTAATTGATACAATCTTTATCTCTCTCTCTCTCTCTCTCTCTCTCTCTCTCTCTCGCTGTCTCTCCATGCCTTTCAATGAAAATGAAAATGAATGAAACATAAATAAGATTCAGAGAAAATTTAAGCAGTGTTTTCCAAACTTTACTCCTGCCCCACCAAATCAGTATGACTTTGAGAGGGTTTAAAAGGTGATTGCTGGGTCCTACCCAGCTCTGCTCAATCAGGGAACTCCTACTGATGCGGCACCTGCACAGAGAAGAGCTCCTTAAGTGACTTTTGAGAATAAGGATTAGTTAATACAACTGAATCAAAATGTCATATTAATTTTTAGATTCCTAGACTACTTTTTTTTCTATTTTATGGTTAAAAGGGTTTTTTTAAGTCAATAACCAAGATACAGTCCTTCACAATTATCTGGGTTTTCTGTCTTAATATTACCTCCAGATTCACCTGACCCTTTTTCTGTGACTGGCATGACTGTGATTTTCCTTTCTGAAGGCAATGCAGTACCGCTACGATCACGATAAAGAGCCCACTTGGGGCTTAGCTCAGCAAGGGAGGGATTTTCTCTGAAGAACACCTGGCCTTTGCTGCTTCCTCAGATTTCCACCCTCCGTTCTGTTGTTCCTATCCAAACTTGCTGCCCTCAACCAAAAAGAAGGTTCATGACTGACTTAAAATGTGTTCTCTGTGCAAACTGTGTCCTTCCCATCATTCCAGCCTGCGGCCCCGCAGATCTTCACCGGCCTCCTCCTTCATCCCATGTTCACCGGGAAGGCGGGGGCTAATGACGATGTCCAGGATGAAGTCCTTCCTACAGGACAAGCAGCAGTCAGTCCTGCTACCCGAGAAGCCCAGGAGGGCCAGTTTTCCACTCCAGTGGATGATGACCTTGGAGTGACCAGCCCTGTGGGCATCCAGAGGGGTACATCCCCGACTGAGGAAACCACCACAGAATCACCAAAAGGTAAGTTTTCCCAGCAGGGAAAATTCCCTCAGCCATGCCCAACATCTGTCTAATGAGAGAGAAGCGTTCTTTGTCTTGCTTCCAGATGTGCAGACCTCAATAAATTCAGGGCACTTCTTTACTCACTCACAGCTTATCCCAGCCCTGTGGGGGAATGCTTTTACTGGACCACCAATCCTATGGGATTATCCTTGGAAGAAGACATTTAATTCCTGGCATAACACACTTTCCATCTTAGGTGAGAGCTGGGAACATAAGGGAGCAGACCAAGCTCCTCTCTTCTCTGTCTTTTCTGTCTCTTCCCAGCACATGTGGGCAGTTTTCTCTCTCTCTCTCTCTCTCTTTCTGTCTTTCTCTCTCTCTCTCATACACACACACACACACACACACACACACACACACATCTATCCCCAGCACATTTAGATGGTACACTCAGACATACACACAGACAAGTGCAAAACAGACACTTCAGTTCATTACAGCCTGCTTCCTACTCACTGACCATAAAAAGCCTCAGAATTTCCTGCAACAGTATTGCAAGCAGTCACAAGTAACAGCCTGGAGCCAGCATCATAGACAAAGCTATATGAGGAAGTGGGACTTAAGAAACTATTTTGCAAAGCTAAGCTCCTCCAGCAAGCAAAGGATGTGCTTTCACGGGTGAATACGACAAATAGCCTTAAGTAGCAGAGAAAAGATTTCATATTTCCATTCTTATTTCCAAAAATTTTACTCTCAAGGAACATGCTTTTACTGACATTTAAAAAGTATTTTTGCTTTCTTCCAGGAATTCAGTAAGCTCTTCCAAATCTGTTCAGCCAAACAGCTTCAAGGGAATTGCTTTGATTGACCATGTTATCGAATAGATTGAACCACAGTGGAGAATTTCAGAAGAAATTCATCCTTAGCATACCTGAATTTTTTTCTGGGAATTTCAGAAAGTATATTTGACCTGGAGAACACTGACTTCTGAAAAAGAGTAAATAAATAGTTGATCTATCTTTGAAATGTAGCAGTGTGTGACTTGAGACCTAGAAGCAACATATATTAAAGTTGGTTGTGAAGCCTGTCACTTGAGGGTATGGGGAAGAGATGGACTCTGCCAAAAATTATCTCAGGATCCTTATGTGGTCCTCTGTGTCTGATGAAGTGGAAAGCCCTGTGTTCAAGGGAGAGGACACCAGCAGAGTGAGGACAAATGCCAGTGTCCCCACAACTACCTCACAACCCACTCTCCCATAAAAGCTACAAACTTAATGTTTAATAGGCAAAATATTTCTGATCCCCTAAAATACACAGCTTAAAGCATGCTCCCAAGGTCCTGCTCAAGTGGTTTTGATAGATCAACAGCTCTGAATTGCTGCCAATCTCATCACTCCTAGCACGATGAAATCTCTCCAGAATCCACTGGCTGACATGGTCTACCTTAGAGTCTCCATTTGCCCAGATATTAATTGTCAACACTTAGCTGGGGTAATTGATCCATTTGCTCTGTCCTCCATTTTCTGTTGTGGTACCAGGCATCCTCTGCAGGTTCCAGTGTACTGCCATATCCTCCATGTGCATCTAGTTATGCTGACCACTGCTCCATCACAGCCACTGAGGAGGACCAGCTCTGACATATGCACTCAACAGTCAGATCATGAAACCTGAGTCCAGCAGCTCAGTTGGAAGGACTCCCAAAGAAACTTCATGTGAAGTGATCCCAAGCCTGATTCTTGTGTGTGCATGTTAATACGGGATATAGCACAGTTCGTTGCCCCAATTAGCTTATGCAAATGCTGATGGTTGCAATTGCTGGGTCAGTTCTATTCCAGCCCTGTCTTCTACACAAACCAATGTATGTTTCAGCCCAGCCTGATCCTGCCCACCACACATTCAGCCCTCAGGCAAACCAGTGGGAATAGCAGCCTAGCTGGAGCGACCCACAATAACCCCCACAAGGCCTGCCCCCTGCTGTGGTTCCCATGCTTGCCAGTATGTACAGCAGATTAATCCAGTCTGTCCCACATCCCATTCTGCTCCCCTACATGTCAATGGGCATCGAAGCTTAGTTCAACCCAACCAATCTCTCTATCCAGCCCACACGCATGCCGACGGATGCCACTATCTATCTAGCCATGCCTGCCTCAGTCCTGGCTGTCAGAGTGGCAACTAAAGAGGGAGATGCCCACTACCTCCCCAATGTGCCCACTCCCACTCCTGGATCATGCACTCTCCAGGTGCTTCTGCAGTTTAACTTGACAGAGTTTGCCCCCTGTGCCAGCATCTGCCAACTGATGCTGTAGCAAATCCCAATCAACCCACACCCACTCTTTCTTTATCTGGACCAGTAGGAACAGTCAACCCAGCCTGACTTACCCCTGATCCAGCTCACATGAGGCCAACAGGTGTTGTAGCCCTGCCTGGCCTGGTCTGCCCCAATTCCAACTCTCATGCTCATCAGTAGGATTGGTGTTCCAACAGGGGAGTCCCATGCAGCCCCACTACCACCTTTGACCCCTGCCAGAGACCAGCTCTGGCTGACTTCAGAGCTTTGAAAGGATGCATGGATTGGCGAGAAGACAAGAAGAGGCGACATGGACCACTATAGCATCATGCTCATAATAAACAACTCTGAAAAGTTGCCTTCTTTCTTTACACACAAATCATCACACGCTTTTGCACAACATCCAATTGTTTCATTTTTACTTCATTATTGAAGAATGATTAGGAAAACAATCCTAAGAAACATCAGTAGTAGCAGTAGTATTTTACTTCAGAGAAAATATTTTCAGCAAGCTATTACTAATTCAAACCTGCAGTGACCTGGCTGAAGCCAGGAACTCCATGGTGGGCAGCACATGCGGTTACCTGGTGACAGATATTTTACTTATATCCAAAATCAATATTCAGTAAACCTAAACTAATATTACTTAAAATATCAAGAATACAAGATTAAAAGGAAAGCCTATGAATGAAAAAAATTTATAAAAGCATATGTCATAGATTCTTTACTAAATTATATAATCAATCATGTATTAATTACCATCACCTTCACCCAGTACTGATCCAATTGTTTTTGTTCTTTTGTTAAAGGGCAGTAAAAAGGATCAGGGAAACTCAGCCAATCTACAAACAGAGGGCCTTTATAAGAAACTTCTTTTTATCTTTATAAACTGTTTTCTTTCCCTAAATGTAAGTGCAGATAGAAGGTAGAAGTTTTAAACCATTTTTCTTTGGAGGTTCACATTTGTCTTCCTTTAGAAGATGTCCCATATACTCTCTGCTTTCCATGGTGAGAAACCAAAATGCATCATATTATGTGTTGTAATAGTTCTAGGCACATGGTAAACAAACCCTTTGTACCTCCATGATTGCCATCTGTTCTAAGATATTATCAAGCCATTTCTTAAGGAGAACATTCTTATATTAGGGCAAGCTCCAGGACAAAGGTGGGTACATAACAGGATGTTTGGGACAATGTGGGCACAATTGTACTATTGTAGGCTTTTAGCTGTGTGTCATTGCCTTAAGTTACTAAAGACGCTTTTATCATAACATGATTGATCAGTTTAAGGTATTACGCCAATTACAGGAATCATTTCACATTAGCAGAAAAACAACAACAACACCCTCAAGAGAATTCTATGAAATATCAGAGAGGTGATTTAGTGTCCATACAATGGGGTGAGGCAGCAATGAGGTGACCAGAGACATTCTGCCATGCCTTGCCACACAGCCAGAAACTCCTCATAGCCTTGCTAACCAAGAAGCAATGCTAGTCACACCCTCACTCCATCTGTTCCAATTACATGGCTTTCCACAACCCCTGCCACCTCCCAATCCCACGCTGAGTCTCACATGTGCTAGCTGGTTGGGTGGTTCTGCACAGTTTCTAAATTCCTCTAATTCTCCAAATAAAAAGAAAGGAATCCTAGTGGATACACTACAATTTAACAGTACAAAAGGAAGCAGTGCAGGAAAATGTGTCCATTCTAGGACAAGTCCAGATTGAATACAGGAATCAACTCCAGAGTTTGTGTTTGTCCCCAATTACATTGCTTGAGCTTTTTTTACAGTTTACTAAATGCTTTAATCTGCTTAAATTTGAAGGCTTTTTTGGTAACCCTTCCTTAAAGAATATAGAAAGTATGATGTATACATGCAATATAAAATAGTTTAACATTCATTCTACTGGAGTGTAAGAAAATCTGACTTTTGTTGCACTGTGTTAGCTACTCTGGCATTTGTTATCTATCAGTGTGTATCTGAGAGGAAGACTGCCACAGCCCATTCCTACAAATGAAAATAACAGTGTAACTTGGTAAGGAAGAGCAGGGCAGACTGTGCCTGGAATCTTGGGCTCACAGACTGTTAGTGCAAGAGACAAAAGTCAAGGTCTGCAAGTGGGCAAAAGTCCAAAACGAAGGTCCACAGCTGAGCAACAGTCCAAAGGCACAGGACTGAGTGCTCTAAGATATCCTTGAAAGCCATGTGTGGAATTCTGTGTTTGGGTCACACTGTCCTTTCCTGATCATCAAACATTGGCTGTTTAACATCACTATGGGACATAGTCATCAGAATTTCTGCCACATCAATTCTTGTCCTTTGACTCTCCAAACAGTTCAATAAAAGATTGAAAGAAGATTTCTCTGCACACCCTTCTTAAAACTCTTTTGCTCCCCAATTGTTAACATATGGCATGTCTGAGTTATAAGCCTGTTTGGACCATCCTAAAATTTGTAAAATTCAGTAAAAATCATGCTTGAAAACTATAAACTGCTAAATATAAAAATGAAAATAGACATGAGACAGCTGAATAGTACCCTATAACCATTTTAAGGTGTATAGCAACCAGTTGTATATAAACTAAAATGGAAATGTCAATGAAGTAGTCACAGGATGTGGTTAAGGACTTACAGTTTCTAACATATTGGTCACTCAACTTCATGATGTTGTAATTGTTGAAGTTGTGTTCTGGCTTTTCATTGGAGGAAAAAATATTCTGCTAGCTCTACTTTCAGACCAGGGATAGTCTCCCAATGAAAATGTTGAAACTATCTGGACAATAAGATACTGAACTCTCTGCATGGTCCATGCACACAATGAAAGAATCATGACTGGTTATGAATGCTACCCCTGTAACAATATGGAGGAATCCAACATGGGGGGAGTGTTTTTTGGAGGGTTTGGCGGAATGCCAGAGCCTATGAAACTGTGTCATAAAATGAGAGAGAGAGAAAGAGAGAAAGAAAGAAAGAAAGAAAGAAAGAAAGAAAGAAAGAAAGAAAGAAAGAAAGAAAGAAAGAAAGAAAGAAAGAAAGAAAGAAAGGAAGGAAGGAAGGAAGGAAGGAAGGAAGAAAGAGAAAGCTTTCCTCTGCCTGGCTGCTTTTGTAGTCTTTTTCTTGTGTCTGTCTCATTTCTTATTTTCTCAATTGCACATTGCCCCTTCTCCAACCTCACTGATGCCACATTGGTCACATTAAAGATATTTGCTGTCCTGGATCTGATTGTATTTGTCTATCACTAGGTGTCATTAAATGGAAATAATACTACATGTTACTCTTTTCCCAATATAAGAACCAGTAAGTCTACATAACCTGTTTAGCCTAGTAATATTCCTTTATCAATGCCATTTAACTCATCCGTGTTTTGCTTTTGGAAAATACATCTGCTTAGAAAAATATCTGGCATTCATACACAATAATTGCTAAATACATTTAATCTAAGGAAAAAGGCTGAAAGTTTATTTCCCTTTGTTATATACACAAAACAAAAATGATTTTTGTTCATGTACAATTAAGCATACAATTTAA